CTATATCATTAGGCTCACCGTTGGATCTTTATTGTACTGGTTTAGTAAACTGTTATGGAATTAAGATGTACATTAGTTCTTCTTTAGTATCATTACTTCTTTAGAATCTCCTCCACTGTTGTGTTTAACTGAAAAGTTAGTACTAAGGTAGGCGTTAAGTGACTGGATGAAGATTCTGATCTGGTGTAATTCACCTGTCCATGCGTTGAAATTTCATCCCCAGCATATAGCATACTGATTTCATGTTGCAGTGGAATGCCTTAACTGTCAAGAAAGGTCACCCCACAGATCTCATTAGTGGCCTGTAAGGTGTATTTGGCACCTGTGCGTAGGGTTACTTACAAAACACATTTTATCAAGAACAGTATTTGGAGTAAATTTACTTTTTAAATAACATATATTTACCATATTTACATTATCAGTCCTGTGCTAAATAAATGTCCAGCAAACTCTGAGCACTAAGAATTGTATTGTTTTAAGACACACCTGTTGAGTGAAGGGGTAGTAATGCTCTAATGTTGGCCTACTGCTCTTCCCCTCCCCTTGACTCTTCCTGAGCATGTAGACTTTGCTTTCTTTCTCTCTCTCTTTCTAAAGCTTCACAAGGCAGCCTTGTTGTACAGCCTGCCTGCTCACAGGCTCCACGCAGAGTGACACAAAGCCTAACCCTGCTCCATTTACTGAGTGTCTGAAGGCTCCTTCTGGATCAGCTCCCTTTGTATTGTCAGGAATGTAAAATAAAGTAACATGCCACTAGAGGATGTATGGTACAGTAATTTTACTCTGGCTAAGGAGTGTTGGCATGACACGAAGTGGTGTAAAATACAATATTTTAAAATAAAACCATGTTCAATAAATAATTTTTATATTCTTAATGTGTATAATGTAATTTTAATGTAAAGCTTTTTTATATTCTTAATGTGTATAATGTAATTTTAATGTAAAGGGCAGGTTGGCATATATATATATATATATGCGCCTGAACAATTCTTCTGCCATGTGGTCTGTTTACAGAAGACTGTTGTATGAAGAGCACAGTGCTTTTTAATAACTTGGATCATTATAGCTCAGCCAATCAGATTTTAGAACCAGAACCAGGTAGAATCTCTTGTATAAAACACAGCTTGAATCTGGAGTATTTTCTTATACTACCTGCCGCCCTCGCAACCAGATGGTTCATGTTCTTGCCGTAGTATTATTGTACAAGAATCTCAGCAAATAGATGCCACAAATCTATTTGCACAGTATCTGGCACTGCACATCAGACATTACAAAAATGCTAGTTATGTCAGTTATTTAAATCAGATAAATACAACAAATAATTGCACATGGTTGTGAATATTTTGTGGTGACGTCACAATCTTGCACTGACTTAACTCTGATCACAAGAGTCCTTGTTAATTTGAAGTTTGTAGAGCATGTAGAATGAATATGCTTTATTCAGGTGTCTGAGGGGTAAAGCTGTTTATCTCGGTGGTCACATTGGTTTTGCTCAAACACACTGTTGCAGGGGAAGTCTCATTTTGCCTTGAATGATGCAGTTGCATGCAATACAGGCCAACACTGTGCAATAGTGGGCTTTTGTAACGCCTTGCATGAAAGACCAAATATACAACAGTCTGTGGACTCAAAATTCCACTGACTACAATTCAAATCATGCCCCTCCAGGCATGTGTTCATCAAAAATAGAGATAGAGGAAATAAGAGCAGTTTGTCTTGTTTGAACACTATGGCATTTCTAGTTGTTCTTCTAGTTGCTCTATCTCTCTCTCTCTCTCTCTCTCTCTCTCTCTCTCTCTCTCTCTCTCTCTCTCTCTCTCTCTCTTTCTTTCTTTCTTTCTTTCTTTCTCTATATTATTATATTAGTATATTAGTAATTGGTCCACTCTTTACTTTTGTGCACCCTACTGCCACTTAACTCTTCCACCCTTCCAATTTACAGCTTTAAAGAGACATGGCATTTAAAATGGCATCTTAAATGCCTTAAAACAATATTTTTGATATTAGAAATGAGATATTGCACTTGCATAAGGAAGTGGAACATCAAAGGATGTGTTTACACTTGCATTTTTATGTGGCTTGGCCTTATCCAGACACATGAAGTGACCAAGTGTAGACGGGGTCAGATTGTTTGCTAAGCACTACGGGCAGAATATCTATGACTCTGTTCACACTTGGTCACTTTATGTGACTAGTATCTGGATTTTATCCTGATTTTAGATTTTAGCCACATGCATCAACACTTGGTAATCATATACGTCTCCAGTAAGTTGGACTGAAATCCAATTGCTAGATGGGACGGACACTTTTTTTATGTGGCTTGGCCTTATCTGTATATAATCCTTTTACTCAAGATGCATAAAATGGCCAGCTGTAAACGGAGTCAAAGAAAAATAAGTGAAAAACAGGAGTTTCTAAAACTAGAGTTCAAAAACTTATTAAAATATATACAGAAAATGGAACCTCTAAAAACTGGCAAGACCTGGTAGACCACCACAACTGCAACAGTACTTAAAGCTTTAATTTTGAGAGATAGGAGAAAATTATGCTTCACTTCATGTCTGAAAAAAGACTAGAGTGTTTCTATTCATCCTTCAACGATGAGAAGACCACTCAGCGCTATGGGTCTGAAAGGATATTATCATTACTGAGAAAAGGAAATGTACAAAAAGAAGGAAATTTGCCCTAGAACACCAAAACTGTATATTTGAGATGTGGAGTAAGGCTTGACCAACAGATGAGTCTAATTTTGTAATTGAGATAACTGGGACTGTGAGAAGATGAACTAGATTGTAAGACTAAACTTGCAGATTTCTTTTAAACCTGAAAGTAAGTCTCCCAAAAAATGGAACCTTGAGTACAGGCCAAGGGTGTCCACACTAAATGCTGAAAATTTTTAGGATATTTAGTTGTTGAGACGTCTGCGTAATTTTTTGTTAAATATGTTTTATGTATTTTTCCTGATGCTGAAAAAAATGAATAACTCATATTTAGTGCCATTTTGACTGGAAATTAAATGAAAGGGTGCGACTTTCACACAATACTGTACGTGTAAATATTCTCGCTTGCTGTTCAGCTGCTTGACCTTCAGAAGTAGCCGTAATTTATTCATAAAATTCATATCATTGTGATAAGACTATGACAGACAGCCCAGAGAATGTGTAAAAGGTGGTTATGATGCCAAGAGACCAATATATCTTTAGCGCTCAGCTCATAAATACAGATTCTGAAACTGTGGCAGTGGAATATGAAGGACTGCGCAGCCTGTATCATACCTGTGGTTGTTCTGAATTGTATTACTCTGCCAAGGAATCTTTCCACTGTCTAGAGTGGCCATATCACTGCTTTATGTTGGCAGCTGTAGAATGTTGAGAGATGGAGACTTTTGAAACCTCTTGTCATGTTCGAAAGGCCTGCCATAGAGAATTCATTCATTATGTTAAAGGAACTGATGCTGTGATGTATTGTTAAAAAGTTATATGAGAGAGTTTCTTATTAGTAGTAAGTTTTTCATATATGCATTAGAACAGAGTGAGAATTAATCACAAGACAGGTTTGCATGCACACATATGCTTGCTTGAAATAGCCTCCCTGTTTTACCAGCGGTATAATTAACTTAAAGTAATAAGCTGGTATTAGTGGCTTTGAACAGAGTGTGTGAGTACGTGTATATGCGTGGTAAGGGGAAAGGGGTGCTGCTCTCAGGTACTTCAACTGCATGGATGTTTGCCAACATGTTATTAAATTTACCCCCCACCCCCACAAACCCACTTTCATTTTTATTTAGCTTGGAACACAACTCATCCACAGCATTGCAGTGAACCAAACAGAGCAGCGAGAGTTGATTCCTGTAAAGCTCCCTCTCTCTCTTTCTCTCTCACCCAATCTTCAGACTAGACTGGCTCTAGCTCTCCTGACAGAGAAGCGCAATGTAACAATGATGTGCTTGGAACCATGTATACAGCTAAGGTTGAAGTGGGGAAATATTAGTACATTGTGGGTATTGTCATTACTTCTAGAGCTCTGAACAGCTGAAAATATGAAAAAAGACAGATTTACATCTGATAGACAGCCTGTAAACAACATCAACCAGTGTGTAGTAACTGTGTAAACTGCAGAGAATTGATTATGCCCTTTTACATAGCCTTTTTTAAATGTAGCACTGCTTTGATTCTGTCTGTTTTAACTTATCATAGATGTCATGTATCGTAAAAACGACTTCAAGTATCATAATTTTATATTTTTCCATATTTCCCAACATTAATGAAGGGTTTATTAAAGTTGACATTAGGAATTCATATTCCAAGGTCTGTGATACCTTCACCCAAGTCATTCATCAGTCATTTGAAATCAGCCCTGTGGCCATTCAGATAGGCTTAGACATGGTTAATCTGCTCGAGCACGTCTGAGGCAGATGCACATGGAGATCTAGCAGTGCTCCCTCACCCTAATTTGTTAGGTTTGATCTGTTCCCACATCTTTTCCACTGCATGCTGAGCTCTGAATGAGCTTGTCACAATTTTATGAGTAAAGTCATGACAATACAACATTAAAATGACAATACAGCAGCACTCAAACTGAGCCTGAGGGTGGCCGTTCTGTGAAAGACTAGTGCATTCTTGCCCGTTCCAAACCACAGCTCAGACAGTTTACGGTAATGTCATGATGAAGGCTTAAGGAAAGAATGTGTGCAGTTTGTATGCCATTCAGTCCAGCTGCCAAACTAATTTTGGCAGATGTGTGACTGGCAGAATTGTGAATATTTGGTCCTGTGGTTTAAAGAGCTCATATTTCATCAGCATTTCTGAGTTTTCCTTCTTTTCAATATGAATGAGCTATGTACTTACTGTACTTTGAATGAAGATGTGAATATGACTGCATTGTTCGGTGTGTCTTTGTAACAGATGAAAATTGTCCATAATTTAATGCAAAGCATGTAGATGACTGTATTGATATAGCGATTGGAGTGACCTGTGTGTGTGTTGTTTTGTGTTTTTCAGGTGGGGGGATCTGTGATGGTATGTGAGTGTTTGCCATGGGACAAGAGAGACTTTGGCTTCTGGGTGTCACTGTTGCTGCCACCTTTTGTCTTCTATGTAAGTTCTTCACTGCTGTTCTCTACTGTATTATACTCTACTGCATTCCTGAACTTTTTGTAGCTAAGGAACCCTTCCAATGTGGAAAAAATAAAATAAAACTCAGTCAAGTTATTTTGTACTTTTGAAAATTCCATTGATTTGTCTCTAGATTTGCCTCACTAAATAACGTGGAATGACTATCAAATAGTCAGACCAAAATGTGTGAACTGTTTCAAGGTGTGAGCAAATGAGGTTGTGAAGCCAGCCATGATATGGTAACTGGTCACAAAGCACTTCACTTATGTCAGGAAGCCAAAGGAATTTGTCAAACACAAGTACGGTCTTCAAAAAACAGCCAATGGTGAGTTTGACCACAGTCTTAGAGAAAGAACTGAGGGCTTCTTATTTAGTAGAAATAAAAAATAAAAAAGCCACCCATGACTGAGGAAGAGCTTGTGCTCCCATCAAAGATGGTACCTTTTTTTCTGATGTGTCTGAAAGTTGATAGGACTCGACTGTAGTACTCAAATACACTCTAGTATACTGTATTTTACAGTATTCTCCTGCAGTCCTTTACTCTCTTCTGTTCTAGTCACTGTAATACTTAAACAGTCTTCTCTCATGATATTAGACTCTGATTCACTGACCACTTCTAAGAGACAGCTTAAGAAGATTTTATACTTACAAGTTGACTACATGTAGAATGTTTAATGTGTGTTTAGTTGTTTGTTTGGTTGTTTTTTTTGTTGTTGTTTTATGGTTTCAATATGTTTTTGGTATTTTTTGTGTGCCTTGATATTTTTCCCTTTTATTAAGGAAAAATACAATAAAAATGAGTCTCATTCTAATTGACACATTTACTCCTCTATGTGGATCCTAGTTTTTCGCACTCTGCATGCCCTCTTTCGTGGTCGCCCTGACCTAATCCCCAGCCCTGTGTGTGTCCAAAATAAATATTCATTTTATCAGCTTACAGTAGACGTCTGATGCCAAGATGTCTGTAATCAAATGAAAACACTGGGGTAAACAGATTCAATCTCACTGAATCATCTCAATGGTGTAATTTAATTTGATGAATGCACATACTCTACTATGTATTCTCTATGGAGCATACTGTGTATCATAGAAGCACAGTAAGGGGGAATCAGCCATTGTTGTCCCAGGACAGAAGGGCATAATGGGAGAAAAACGTGAGACAGAGCAGAGGTGGTGTTGGGGGGAGACACCCGACCATGTGTGGGGAAAGGAAGGGGGAGCACAAAAAATGAAATCTACAAATCCGGATTTAGATCAGTCTGGGATTTAGGCTCTCCCCTTCACTCAAGGCACGCTTTCATTTGGGTTTTGTGTGCAGGGGAGGGTGGGGGCACTGGTAGGTTGCAGACCGTGTGTGTGCAGCAGGAGGTCCTGGGGCAGCAGGAGCATGAGGAGGGGGCGCTCTATCAGAGAGCATCATCTTTTGAGAGATTAGCCCTAATCGCAGTGCCAGACGAGGTGCAGGACTGGCAGTAGAGTTTGGTGGCAAGGTTTGCAGTTTCTTCCTGCAAACTACAAACTGTAAATCACACCAACATATTTTTATTAGTTGTATTTTGGGAACAACCAGACGTTTTTAAATGATAAGTAATATACTTTAATTATCTATTTCCAAAATTGTTTTGAGATATTCTGGATGTTATTTTATACATTGACAAATAATAGATAATGTTATAAACTAGACACATTATAAATCATAAGTTAGACAAAAAATGTTAGAAACATTTTAGTCATTTTTGTCAAGTATCTTGAGATTTGATTACCACTTTTGAAATATGAGGCACTCTGGATATGAAGTTTATTATAACTTCATTTGTGATGCTGCACAACTTCTAAAATAACATGTTTTATTTTTATTTATTTATTTTTTTTTACTAGTTTTCCTATTAGTTCCCTACTAATTATTTGAAACTTGTTAAGTTAGACAGGACTAGCATATTTCAAACACTTTATACATTTATCTGTTACCAAATTGTTTTCATATTGTTGAAAACATTTACTCCAGATTTTTGAATGTTGACTGTAAGCTTTGAAGGGTAATGTAGATTGCAGTTTGCCAGCATGACGGCTTACAAGCATCGCTAAACAGGCCTTTCTGGGTCTCACAACACTCCATACCACAGAAAACTGCTGGGACGGGTGTATAGCTTGGACGCAGATTTAAATGGATGTTTGGATATGCAGGCTGAATTCCAACTTATTAACATAGATTAGTTGTCATGCATGATACATCTCCTTTACGAGCCCCCCTGTGTTTGTGTATCTCTCTGGCTTGTTTGTGTCTGTGTGTGAATCCTATTTTGCATTTTATTTTCTACCAATTATCTCATTCTCTTTATTTATGTCCTTTTTTCTGTCCTAGCTTGCATTTGCATCTTCTCATTCCTCCTCATTTCGGAAAGTTCTAGAATCTTTCCATGACTGACAAAATGTTCACACCATTGCTGCAAGTGGAATGTGCAGCAAACGATCCAGAGAATACTGGTTTTATTATTGACTCAGTCCAGATTCTGAGTTTACAGCAAGGCGTTTCTCAACAGCCAGCAGAGCTGGTCCTGAACGTCTTAAGTTTGCCATTCAGTGGGTGCAAGTAGCAGGGTGAAGGAAATATGCCACAAAGGTGACAAATAGGGATAACATTCTACACAGTCACTATTCATCCACTTACAGTAATTGTAATTCACCACCATGGACAAAATTGCAGACAAAATTGCTTTCATCTCAGTGACAGGTGCGTATCTGCAGCTGTGTAAGTTTCTGGTTGCTGTTCTGGGTTGTGTGTGTGTGTGTAGATGTTGTGTGCGTTTGTTTTCACACTTTTTCAGGACAGTTTTTTTTAATTGAAAGTGTAAAACCATTTTCTTTTTGGTATAAATAAACATGTGCATGTTTTTGTGTTGTCCCAGGTCCCTCGCTGAGTGCTGAACTGGTGGTAAGTGGAAGAGTTGGGGGGTCTGCAGAGTTGGGCTGCAGTCTCACTGCTACATCAGACAGGGCCACGTCCCCCAATCTCTTCCCTCTGCATGTGGTGGAGTGGGTACGGCTAGGTTATAATGTCCCGATCCTCATCAAATTCGGAGGCTACACACCACGCGTGCATCCAAACTATAAAGGTAAGTTGCAGCCATGGTCGGTATCCTATTGTCTTTTAATTCACCGTGTCAGAGGAAGGACACTATTAAAGTAAGTGTGGTTTTATCCCTGGGGTTGTGATTCTGTCGGTGTATTTTATCTTTGTGACATAAAGACCTATGGTGTATTGTGCTGTATCATCAGTTTTATGACTGAGTTGAAATGAACTCTAGGGGAACACTCAAAAGGAAACCGTTTATCTCTTCCATAGAGCATGATAGTGCCTGTTGTTTTTGGTCTAGGAGGTGTAGATGGGAGAACTGAAAAAGACAGGTTTCCAGGGTAATTCAGGAGAACAAGCTTTAAGGCCCTTTTGAGTACTTGAGTACTTTTGTTTTTTTTTTTTGTTTTTTTCCAGAGAACTGCTTAGCTGAAAACACAGCTGTTTGTCTTGATGATAGTTGGGGGTAAGAGGAGTGCGCTGGTATTTATTGAATGTTAAAAGGAAGAGCATTCCACTGTTGAAAGAATATCCCCCAAATAGGTTATCCACCCCAATCAACAAGTGCCCTGTAATTACGCCGAGTGTGTCTGTGTGTGGGAGAAATGGCTACAGAAGAGAAGCAGTGGAAGAGCAGAGGGGAGGAGGGGAGCATTTTTAATGGATGCAAAAGGGAGGAGCAGGGGGGTTAGGCTGAGTGCGGCCCGTGGGGGTGTTGGGTATTGTACAGGGTCTGGATTAAGGAGCATGGGGTTAAACTGAGGCAGGTCGTGTGGGGGCCATTGGGCCGTTGATGTTAGTGTGCCTGTGTATGTGTCTGAGATGCTATGGCTCTGACCCACTAAGAGAAGATTTCTGTTTTGCAGCAAGCCAAACGGATGAAGTGCAGAGTATAATAGACTCTCCTTCATCTAGAAAGCATAATCCCATCATTGTCTCAGGAAGAACAAAAGACAAAGAGCTATCATTACCTCCCTCCCTCTCTTTATCCCTCTTCCCCACAGCAACCCATGCCATCGCTTGTATCTAGAGTAGGCAATATGACGATATGTTATTAAAAACAACATATTGTTGCTGGCAGAATGAAACCTTGTGTCTCCATTTATGTTTTTTAAATATAATTTGAACATGCTAGTCATTCATTACACTGTGAAAATTTCATGTTGAATGGAAACGGTCCAAAATTTAACCTTTTCAATTTCAATCAACTTCCAGTATAAGTTAAGAAAAATTTTACCATCCCCTGCAAAGTTAACATTTTGGAGGTACAAGATTTAGTTCTAACAGCGACGGTATGATAATTACATCACAATCAGGGACACGGGAAGTGGGAGTGCTGAGGAGACTGCAGCAGCCCCAGGTTTCAGAATTGCAACTGCTAATTAATTAATTAATAGTAACAATTAATAATAACAATACGATGTTCTGAATTTGGTAATAATTTGAATACAGTAAAGAACTATGCATGCTTGTTTTAGAGTGGAGTTTGTATTTTTATATTTTATTTATATAGCATTAACTGCATAGAATTAAGTGGCAGATCCCATTGTGCCTTTACCTTATTGTATTTATATATATGATAAGGAAAAATCCACCAATTTGTAAAAAAAAATATATATATATATATATATATATATATATATATATATACATATATATTTTTTTTTTTTACAAATTGTTGGATTTTTCCTTTTTAAACAGTTTATTTATGAAAAACTTCAAGCATCATGTCATTATATGGTTGCCATGTTGCCTGTCCTTACTTGAACCTTACCAAAGTTCTATCCTTGGCCATCTCAGCCAGTGCTCATCTCCACGGCTCTTGGACGCACCAGCTTTCATGTGGTGGTCTTTTACATCGTTTGAGCAGGTTTTGATCAGAGCACAAATGGAAATTTCCCTGTTTTCCCAGCGGGCTGTGGTACGTCAGCCCTGCCAGGAGCAGCCACAGAACAGATGAGGCTCCGCCTGACCTGAACCCCTGCTCTCCGTCATCAGTCATGCGGTTCCTTCAGGGAGAACAGCTGATGCGAAATCAATTCAGATCTGTCAGCGTCGCTTAAATAATGAGTGAGGTGAAAAAGGTGCAGAGTACATGGATAAAAACATTTTTAAAAATAGCATTAAAATAGCACAAATAGTGTTCAGGAACTTCAAAAGAAATGCAAGGTATCCAAAATAGCATTTGCAAGTGTTAAACTGACTGCAAAAGTTAATGATAGTGCTAAAGATGAAAAGTTAATAGCCTAAGACATTCTCTGCGCTCTCCTCTTCCCCTCCCAATCTTTCCAGACCATCTCTGCTTGTAATTTCATCCTAACATTGGAGCCAGCTGGCAACGCATGAAGCATATTGGTGCCGGGCATCTAATATATTCTCCCCTCAAATTAAAATGCATAAGGATGTAGCTGTCTCTTTTCCTAGCCTTCACCACAAAACCCCACTCTGCGAAAGACAAGATGAAACTTGACCTTCCCTCGTCTTTAAACATAACCCCGCTGCAAAAAACATGCTCGTACATGGACATGCTTTTAACTGAGTTATTTTAGGTCCCCACTGCTGTCCAAGACGTGTAAGGTGAAAGGTGAATTTGATTTCGGTTTAAACTTTCAAGGACTTTTTAAGCAACACTAAAACAATAAAAAAATGAAGTTTTTGTGTGTTATGTCATCTGAGGTAACTTTTTGTCAGTCAGTGCATTATATGTGTGGTGGCTATGAAAAATACAGTACTGCACAGTTAATAAAAAGTGATGTGGCAAAATTAAAAATGTGTTGGTTGTAGGAAAACGTAAATCATAAAAACGTAAATCATAAGAGGCCGTTTTAGCCACTGACTAACTGAGTTAAACATTCGGCACTACATACAGCCTTTGTCACAGCTATAATATAATAACATCCCAGTAAATGTTTTCTTTAACAGTGTCAGTGTTGTGCGCATTTTATTATGTCTACACAGTTCACATCTCTGGAGAACATCAAATTCTAGCTCAGTGAAGTCACAGTGAGAAATATTGCAACTGACATTTAGTAAATTGTACACTCAGTCTTGCTAATAAGCGACCTGAACTAAATCAAAAAGTGGTAAGGCATCGCCCCAAACGTAGTGTGTTAAACGCCTGCTCACCCCACGTTGCCAGTGTCCAACAGCCATGGCCTGTTTTGGTTATATTGCATTATACAGTTCTGGTTGTACAATGCTGGTCTTCATCATCCCCTGCCACCAAAACACGTCTACACACCTAGCTCCAGTGAACTCACACAGACTCTAAATGTCAAATATGAGTGGTGTGAGAAGCTGTTGCCTTAGAGAAGTACCCCAATAAAGGCATCAATCTGTCCCACAGTATGTTTGATAAGCTATCAGGTGAGTTTCAGATTAGAGAGCTAATTGCATTCCTCTGCTTTGGTATAATCAGCTACGACATGTCTCTGGTACTTTGATCAAGGCACAGTGGCTACACACAGATTAGGACAGCAAGTGTAAGTAACGTACAGACAGCTGGGGCGCAGTGCCCACAAAGATATAAGAAATGAGCAAAGAGAGACTGTGATCTTTTTAAAACATTGAATCTCTAGGTATGTAACAGTATGTACAGGTATGTACAGGTATGTAACGTTTACTAACTGTAAAAGTGAAGATAACCATTAAATGTGCGTTTAAGTTTAATCAATAAACAGACCAGTATATAAGTAACCACTCTAGTTATTAGACCTGTGCAGGGGCCCATGCAGAAGAATGAAGATCAAGATGAGTTTAACGGGCAGGAACATGTCAGCTTCTGCGTGCAGATCAAGCCTCCATGCTTAGCCCGCGCTGTCAGAGCCTGTTACCCTAAGCAGTGGCAGATCAAATGCCCCTCCTCCTCTCCCTCCAGCACAAGGAAATAAGGGAAAGCCCCCCTGTGAGGGAGAAGGGAGGGGGCACCACTCTCAGTCTGGGCTCAGCAGGTCTCTTTCACTGTCTGTCTGTTTTAGAGTCGCAGCACAGCCTGATGTTAACCTCTCCACCCTTTGCCCCCCCTTGGAAATCCCTTCAATCTTTCAGTCTACACTTTTAACCCTATCATACCTAAAATACTGTCATCTATACTTTCAGAGACTTTATGCTGCCCTTTTTAGGTTACGCTGCCTTTATTTCATTGTATTCATATCACACACATCATCTAAACCACTTATCCTTACTGGGTCGCGGTGGGGTGCTGGAGCCTATCCCAGCTGTCATTGGGCGGAAGGCAGGATACACCCTGAACAGGTCGCCAGTCCATCGCAGGGACATATCACTCAGAATAAACTTACCAATAATTTGTTTCATCACAGTAACAATTAAAGTGTGAAGTATATTCATATGATTGTTGGCTTAAAATAGTAGTTTATGACACAAACATTTAGATCATTTTTAGATCTTAGCATTAAAGGGCTAAGGTCTGAAATGTTGGCCCTTGATTTTTGTTGAGAAGTTGACAGATTTGCTTCTTCTATAAGTTTTTTTGAGACTACTGCTTTGTTTTAGGAGTCAAGGAGTGGTACTGTATTTCTAATATCTTGTGAGCTAAACATCCCACATACCACAGGAGGCGACTCCTCCCTCTGTAGACTTTAAATCATTTCAAAGGATCAGCCCTCTCAGCCCTCTCTCCCCTTACTACACCATCATCCATTCATGACCAGCTCCTTTCATTCCTGAACTTTTTCACTAATAAAGTCCCTTTGTCTTTTAATGATTTCTTCACATGGTCAACATACCTTGGTTTTAACTTCCTTAACTTCAGTTTACCAGACACTTTTTCATGCCATTCACTCAATGCTCAGTCCATCAGAGAAAGAAAGAAAAAGCGCAGGTAGCGGGGTTGGATTTGTCAAACCTGTTTTACTGGTCAAGTTGGGCTCTCACAGGGTCACCAAGCAGTGAACCAGCAGCAGAAAAAAATATTATGCTGCATATTTGGATCTCTTGTTCTTAGGGCTTTGAGGTGCACTACTTGTAACAAAGCCTTGTGCTACTTCATCCTGGTTGTTTCAGGTTTTACCTGAGGGATGA